AGAATGTTTCGCAATTGAAAAACAAAAATATCAAAATTTCTATTTAGATTTATTAAATATTCTAACAAGATTTCTTTCCATGCATATGTTCAAATGGAATAAAGCAATTTTCCTTTTGCGGTCAATCATAAAATATATTTTTTATATGTAATTCAAATTATTATGCGAGAAAATTATATTTTGTGAATAATATACTCTTTCATAATAATTATTTATTATAACTATATATCTTACGTAAAATTATACGACAAATATATACAAATATTATTATACAAAAGTTATTTTAACGAATTTATTTCTATGTCACTTAGAGAAATGTATTGTTCTTTTTATTTTATTATGTGTTTTATTTTCTTTTTATTTATATTTATTTCACACAATTTTTATTATAATTTTGAATATCCTGGTCCAAATATATATTTTTTTACCAAAAGAATATTCTTACACACAGAAAAAAGTTTCTTTGTTGACTCAAAAAAATATTTCTTTGATTTTATGAAATTTTTTATTTGTTGAATCAAAGATACTTGGAAGGTATTTCAAAGACATTTAATTAATTTAATAAGGAATTTACAAGTGATCATGTAAAACACTGAACAAAACTTCATGGCAAAATATTTCTTTGATTCAAAGAAATTGTTCTTTAGATTAAAAAAAAATATTCAATGAAAAAATTTCTTTGATACAAAACATTTAAAAATTTCTTTTTCGTAAAAGCAAAGAATACTTTTTTTAATACAAACAAATTTTATATTTAATTCAAAAAATGAGTTTAAAGAAACGATTGCTTTGTTTAAAAAAAATCTTTTTTCTGGGTATATTTTTTTTATTCTAATTTATTAAAAATTATTGTATATTGTAATTTTTTTTAAAGAAAACGGTTTTTTTTTTTTTTTTTTGCTAAATTTGGTTTAAAAAAAGACGGTTACGTAGATTTATTTTAATATTTTCAATATTTGAAATTTAAGTTGTAAATACATGTGACGCTTCACGAGAGAAGGGACCTTACGTTTAAAAAAATTTTAGGTTATGTTTAGTGTTAGTTTTATCTAGATAAAAAAAAATTTCTGTTTATAATTATAGGTAAAATCAAAATTAATTTTTATTGAATTTTTTTTTAATATAATAATGCAGACTTAAATATAAATGTTTTTTTTATTAAGAGTTAATTCTCTGTGTGTATTTGCATTTCAAAAATCATAAACATAACCTAAAATTTTTTTGACGTAAGGTCCCTTCTCTGTTGGTGCGTCACATAAATTTCAAATATTGTATTGAAAATAAAATTATGTTCTTAAATTAAACTGAATTTTATATTTGAAAAAAATTTGATTATTCGCGAATCAATACATTTTTTTTATAATAAAGAGAAAAATATATAGAAAGCAAGTAGTATTGTCTTAACAAAAAAATGCGTTTGTAACTAAATAAAGTAGGGGAATCATTAAAATTAATTGTTTTCTTTGGTTTATTCTTGAGCGTATATCTGCAATTATGTATATATATATAGCTATAGGTACTCGCAAAGAGAGTGCAAGAATTATTAAGCGAAAGTCAGATTCACTATCTTTTTTTCTCACGCTTCGTAAATCTCTCAATTATTGTAAATTGTGAAACTGCACATTTTTATTTACAAAAATAATGTACTTGTACCTTAATAACATATTTCACCTATATATGTATTATTTTTCAACATTTTTTTTAAATGTAGACAATTTGCAATTTAGAATGTATATATAAAATATATTTTATTTATCTAAAAAGCGTTTAATATTTCCTTTGGCTATTGCCGGAAGCCAAGGGTGTCAGGTATTTGACCGCATAGCAATATTAACGTCAATAAAAGATGAGTATAAAAATGTGCGGTTTTAACTTCGAGTTCAAAAAAAAGAGAACTTTTCTTTCTTTCTGCAGACGTAATTTTTTTTTTACTTTTTTCCTCTTTTTATAATTGAATTTTCGAATGAGGAAGCATTTTTGATTTATGAGCCTGTCTCCTTTATATTGAAAACAATAAAATATAACTAAAAGGAGAAACAAATATTTAAAAATAAAATAATAAAAATTTAATTTTTTTTTTTTGATTTCGTTACTATTAATGTGTATTTAAATGATAATATATACATTCATCTAAAAACGAAATTCTATTTAATTACTTTTACTCTTTTATTTAAAAGTATAAATATTTTATTATCTAAAGTTATATAGAATATGTATAAAATAATAAATAATTACATAAATATTAATTATATATTTGTAATATTAGTGCAATAAAATAGGAAACAATTTTTAATAATTAAAAAAAAATTATAATTTTAAAAACATTCATCTTTTTTTATTATAAATACAAACAAACCTACATGGATTAGTATAAGTAACCTCTATAATAAAGTCCAGAATAAAATGCATGGATTATATTACACTGCTAATTTATGATATTTCAAGATATCGTATGAAAAAAATTTGCTTTTTTCCCCTTTTAGTGAATTTAAATTATATTTAATTAGTCTCCCTAATGGCGTTCGTTTTGTTTTATTGTTATCAGACTTGGACGCAGGGATATTTTTTTTTTTTTAATACAATAAAAGTTGTTCAAAACTTTGAGAACTTTTAGCCGAGCGGAACCAATTATAAAAATGAATTGTGTGAATATTGTTCTAAATATTCTCAAGACAAAGTTTCTCTTCACGTCCCTGCTGTAACCTTCGACTTTATTTCCTCGTTCCGTGTTCTAAAAATATTGGCGTAATATATATATATATATAAAGCCGATAGACATAGACCGGATTTATTTCCCATTTATTTGACAAACACAAATTGTTTCCGTTCGGAAATGAAAAATTTTAATCCTTTAAAAAAAAAACAAATTTCATTTGAAACAAGCAAATAAGAACCAAAATTTGATTAAATCAAACCATTCTGATTCAATAAAAAATTACTTTGAATTAACTGAATTTAATATTGAAAAACTGATACTTATTGTAACAAGAAAATTTTTGGTTGTTAGAACCAAACTGTTTGTTTTTCAATTTAAATTGAATCGTAATTTTCGAAAAATCGTGTCATTTTTGCATAACTAAATAGTATGTGTATTCTTCTAAGTGTTGCTAAAAAGTCACGTTTGCAGCACGTGAATATTATCTTAAAAGTTGAGATTTGTTCATTCAATGTTAGGTGTAAATTTTTAAGGAAAACAGAAATATATATATACATATATTTCATTTGAATCTTTGTACTTTGAAAATAATTCAATTATATAGATGTGTGCCATTCGTGACAAATTTTCGAAAATAACGGAAATGGGGAAGAATTATTTTCAAAATCTGTCACTTCATGGTAATATTTATAATCTTACATTGAGAAATTGTACTCTACTTTCGAGAAATCTACAACAGTTATGAGTTTTATTTAGTGACAAAAAGAGAGAAATTTTTTTCCATAACTTTTTTTTTTTAATCTTTTTTATCGTTCCAGAGCTTCTAAAATATATAGTTATTTGTTTTAAATAAATATTTATTTCTCAAATATAAAAGATTTATTTGTGTCAAATCAAATATTTATTTAAAATAAAAAAATTTGTTACAAACAGAAATATATTTCAAATAAATTATATATTTCTGTCGAATAAAAAATTTCTCAATACAAAATGTAAAAAAGAAAATCAATAAAAATGCATTAATTTAAAAATTTAAGTTTTTTTTAAATGAATTTTCAATATTTGAATTGTGAGTAATGGTAATCTATATGTAAATAATCGTTTATAATCATATTAGAGAAAACGTGACCTCATACCAATTTTTCTTACTTTTTATTTGCCAGGAAGAAAATTAATATGACAAAGACACGTTCCGTTTTAAATTAGAAGCACGTCTATGATTTAGAAATCGAAAATATTATTCACATTAGATAGCGAATTGTGTTATTTTAGATGAATTTTCTTTAAATTTATTTATTTATATCGCTTCGGAAAAAGAAATTGTATTTTTTTTTTGTTAAAAAAATCTATTTAAAAATGTATTTCTTTTTATAAAAATATTTTTTGTACAAAACACACTTTTTTTAAATCAAAAAATCGAATGATTGAATTGAAAAAATTTTGTTTAAGAAAATTTTTTTTGCAATTTTTTATAATAGATAAATAAATTTTTTATGGATCAAGGAAAATTTTCTCGAAGTTCTCTTTTAAATATTTGTTTAAATTAAGTAGATAAAGAAAAGCGAAAATCTTTTTAATTTATTTGTTTTGAAATTCACTTTATATTTCATAACGTTTAATTAATTATTTACTTTTTTCTATATACTCTTTCTAAGTCCACTATAAAATTTCATTAAAAAATTGGAGAATCAATTAATCATTAGGATAATTGATTATTTAATAAAAAAAAACAGTAGATTATAATTTCATAGAAATTATTATTCTTTATAATATTGAAATTTGAATGAAATTATAATGAGGAAATAATTTCGATTTTAAAAATATAATTTTGTCTGATGGTCGTTTTTCAAACACATAGCCATTGGCAAAAAAAGTGTAATACCATCGCGTTGCTAATTATTCTGGAGGCTGTTTCTGAGTCGATTGAGCAACCTTATAGCTTCGGGCAATGAATTAGTTGCGGCGAATTTCAAAGTTATGGGAGTTGATGAGTTTACATATTTTAAATGTAATGGCCCCCTTGAACAGGCCTCAAAATTTCAAATCCTTTCAATTTTCATCAGATTAGAATTGGAGGGATATGATGTCAATATTTATAAGGTATACACGCGGGTGTGTTTATATGTATAATATTTGAAAATTTTTAAATTTTCAAAAATCACATATATGGAAAAATTATTCTTCTCCTCCTCATATTTAGAAGAATAGAAAAATTATACTTTTATAAATAATTAACATTGGTTATATATTATACAATAATAAAAATATTAATAAAAATGGTTAATTTAATGATAAATTTGTAAAATGATTTTATAATTAAATTTTTGTGAATTGTTTGTTACAGATAAACCTGACTAAATGGAATAAAAAATCCGCTGTCATTGAGAATACTTGTAAGTGAATTTGATTAAATTTTTTTTTGTTTACAAATGAAAAAAGTTTTAATAAGAAGACGAGAATCTTTTAAAATAATGCGGATTGGTTTGAAAATAAAATATATGTATTTTAACTATTTTTTAATATACAGTCAAACCTGGATAACTATAAGACTTCACTGAGAAAAATAATATCGTAATAATAAGAAAATAATTTAGTTAAGCATTTTTAGTTGGCCTTACTAAAGTATGGTTGGCACAACAGAAAAGAAAGTGGCAATCAATCGAAAAATTTAGTTTGCTCTACCAAAATATATTTTTGATGGTTTCATGTCTACGAACTAAACAGTTTGGTTCTCCGTACTAAATTGCTGGCACGCAGAATTGCGCACGTGCTGTTCTCGTAAATGTGGCGTCAGTCGTGGACCTCTTCCACGTTATGCTTATCCGATCATTTATGTCATGTGTTTTTATTGTTCGGCTGGTCTATTATCGTAGCAGTGTCATTAAAGTTCTATAAATATTTATTTTTTAAAAGTGTACTGAAAGTGTTTCTTTTATTTCGAAAGATTGGCTGACGAAGTGACAAAACGTTTGCTAAGAGAATGGGGGTTAGAATGCCTCGTGGCATTCTGTATCAACTTTTGAAAACTTGCTCCTCAATTTTATGCGATATCATTTTGAGATATTTCATGAAACGCGCGTAGTGTGTACTTACGGGAAGATAAATTATTTTTGTAATGTCTAAGCATAATGAATTTAATAAAGTTATATTATTAATCTCATCTCTCTTGAATTAAAATACCTTATTTTTTATGCAAAATCGTAAAAATGACCAAAGAAACTATTTTAGATAAAATAAATTATTTAATTATTTCTACAAAAAATTTTTTTTTAATCAACGAAAACAGTAAGTTGAAATAACTAAATTTTATTTACGTCAACAGAACATTTTTTTTCATTCTAATAAATGTATTTATTACGTAGACTAAATTATTTGGTTACACCTACTAAATAATTCAATTGAGCGAAATTTAACGTTTGGACAAAAAAATTTAGTACTCCCAACCAAACGGTTTAGTTGCACATATATCAAATAAAAAATTTGGTAGGGAAAACCAAACTTTGATACATGATACCAAACAGTTTTCTCAGTGTTGTATAACTGAGTTATACTGTCACGGAGAAAAATAGAATTGTGGTGCAAACAATTTTTGGATTGTTGTCAATAGATTTGTTGATATTACAATTCGAAATGTTAATATTACAACTCAGATTGTTGTCAATGCAAATGTATGTTGTTTTAACAGCAATACGAATTTTTTGTTGTCAGTTTTGTTCAGTTTGCAATTCCTTACAGTTGCAGAAGCAAACACTTTGTCAATTGTTGATGGAACAATCCGGATTTGTTCAGCTGACAGGTTTATTGTTCCATGTCACGTGGTCATCTTTAATTCTCGCAAACTGGCGTGCAGATTGTCGCGTCGTTAGCTTCTCTCACATGTGCTACTTTTGCTTTTATTATTAGTTTTTTTTTTTTAAAAATGACAAAGTGCTGTTAAATAATGAATCCGGTTAAACTGAGAAATCTGTTGCAAATAGAGTGAATGGATGAAGAGACAATTTCATCGTTTATCGGTAAGTTATACACGGTTACTATTGAACATAACCTCACCTTAAAAAATACAAAATGTATATTAATTATTATTTAACAAAAAATTTTTAACTCAAAATAATTTTTTGGTTTCAGGTCAAAGAATTTGATTCAGAAGCTGCATGTTCCACAGATTTTAATGCAAATGAAACTGGTGATATGGCCTACGGAAATTATTTTAGAAGTCGAAGAAACTGAACAGATTGTATTAGACGGATCAAAACTTTGTTAATAAAACAAATTGTATTGCCGATTTAACAATTTAGTTTTGTTATTTCAACTGTTATAACAATAACAATCCCATTTTAACAATTTTTTTTGTTCCAAAAACAAATAGAACTGCTGATTCTATATTGACAATCCTGAATTCTTGTGTGGACTTAATTTTTAGTAACCACAACAATTCTTATTTCTCCGTGTGATAACTGATAATAGAGTTTAATCCTAATTAAATAAAAGATATTTCATTTATCAGACAATAACTTTTTTGATTGACAAACATTTTCTATTGTTATATTATGTCAGAACCTTGGAAAAATGTGTTCCACTAAATCAGGTTCAATTGTACATGCATAAAAAATGAAGGATATTTTTTCATGCATTTTTGACCTCAATGTAATATTGAACACCATTTTATATATAAATATTTCTTAAAAATAACTAAATGACCTCGCCTACGTAAATTATTACACTTTCGTATAGACAACAATACGTAATTCATGCGACATTTCACGGGAACATTTTAGAAAATGAATTAATAAGAGCGTAGGATGATATGTAGTAAACGGAATGGTATAAGCGTTAAATGCAACTTGCACACATATATATATATATATATATATATATATATATATATATATATTATTTTATTATTCTACAATTTGATACAATATTATATGTCATATTAAAACAAAAATTTAAAAAATTTAAAGCTAATAAATATACATAAAATACTATTACTCTGTTATTTATATGGATCAATTTCTCAATTATCTAAAATTAACAAATAATTTTATTTTTTTTTTACGTCTACTGTTATCAAAATAAGTTTCTGAAAATACTATGGAAAAAAATTGTTTGTTAAAGTTGTAAACAATTGGAATTTTCAGCTGTCTTAGTTAAAAAAAAAAAAAATTTTTCGAGATCCAGTTGACAAATTTAAAAACAAAAAAATACGGTTCTCTCGTTTTGGAACGTAATATTTAAAAATAATTTTTGTTTTAAACAGTTTTTTAAAATTGTTTTATAAAAAAAAGTTTTTTTTAAATACCACATAACAATTTCAAGACGAAAAAAGCCTATTTTTTTGTTTTTATAAATTTTTTAATTTTTCAATTTGTCAATTTTTTTCTAATATTTTCAGAAACTTATTTTGATCACAGTAGAAATAAAAAAAAAACCATTTAACATTGAAAATTAAATTTGTTAATTTTAGGTGATGCATTTGAGAAATTCTGATCCATATGTAAATAAATAAATATTTATAAATAAATATATATTTTGCAAAATAGCCGAGACACATTTATTATATTCGCAACTACCTAATTGAACTTTATATGGCTTTTCTCTTTAGATGAAAGGCGCATATAATTCTCTGCTTATAATGCATTTGATAATTGTTAAGCAATTGTGTTATATTATTTCGAAATCTTTGGATTCATTTTGTAAAAATACATATATTTAAATTAAATAAATATGCGAACAAATAAATAAATACCTATGTTATATAACACTTTTTTTAAAATACTTTTGCAAATCATATTTACATACATATTAAATTGTCAAACTTAAAAATTATTGATGTCTGTAAAGTAATTTCCTCCAGAATAAAATGTTCAACATAAATTTATATTGCATTCCGTTTGTCGTAACAAATTTTGTTTTACCATATTTAAAAAAAAAAAAAAAAAAAAAAAAAAATTTTTAAATGAGTATAGGTATGAATGAATTTATCTGACTTGGACAATTCAATTATAATTGAACAAACGAAAATCATATTTAAACTATTATATTCTTCAATTATTGTAATTTATATTATTCAATATATTTAATTTTAATTTTAGTGATTCTTATTAAAAAAAATTTTTTTTTGGTTTATTAGATAAACCCCACTTGGAAAGATTCCCCGGAAAGTGCCCCCCCTGGAGGTTCTATCAGAATTCCGCCGGAACTTCCAACGTAATTCCGTCGGAATTCCATCGGAGTTCCAAAGAATTTCCGATGGGGTTCTGACGGAATTCCGATTAATTTGTTTTCAAAATTTCTAGAGTCCTAATTCCGTCGGAATTCCGTCGGAAATTCTTTGGAAATCTGATGAAATTCTGACGGAAGTACGTTGGAAGTTCCGGCGGAATTCTGATAGAACCTCCAGGGGGCACTTTCTGGGGAATCTTTCCAAGTGGGACGTGGACTATAATATTGTGGAGAAACGAATTAAATAAATTTTTTTTTTTTTAATTGGTAAAACAACTTTTATGATGGCCCAGATTTTGCATTTTTCATTATTCACTCGTTCAATTCAAGTTAATTAATTTTCCACTGTAAATCACGTTTTTTTATCCTATCACAAGTATAAAAATTCTTTTTTTTTATATTATCAATTTTTATTCACTTTCTTCCTTGTATTAAAATCATTATACCAAGAACTTAATAAAGAAATTATTAAAAATATCACATTGACTTTAGGATTGTAATTGATAATAATATAATAATAATGTTTTTTAAAAATTTTAATTGTTCAAATAAATAAGTAATAAGGATGATGAAAATAATAATAATATGTAATAGTGGTTACAAAAAATTATTAAAAAGTAATACAAAAATAATGTTTTTAAAAAATGTTAATTATAAATTAATTATGAAGTAAATGTATTTTATTAAAAAAGAATACAATTCATTAAGTGCACTTAGTGCTTCGTCAGAAATTATCATATTCATATAGTATAGATAAATTTAAGTGAATCATATTTTTCATTAATTCACTGTTAGATGATATATACGTCAACATATTTTTCCGTAATGATATCGTAATTATAAGAAATCTGTTTTCACTCACAAGACGAAACGTGTATGGATATATATATGTACTAGACGTAGACTGCGCGCGCCTTTTAGGTTGGTATTTTGTGCTTGACCAGAAATAAGTAAAGAATATTCATATTGCAAATGTCAAAATGATTGAAAATTAGTCAAAAGTTCAATCTTTTGTCGATAATAATTTATTTGAGCGGAATTTATTATGTCAACACTCTTAAAAGTCGACATTTTATTAGAATGAAATTGGTTTATCATTTTCTAGAAAGGACATAGAACCATCTAGAAACTTAATGAAACTGTCTAGAAACTTAATGAAAACTTTTAGAATCTTCATAGAACGTTCTAGTAAATTTATAAAAACTTATAGAAATTCCGTAGAATTTTCTAGAAATTTCTTGAAATTTTT